ACATATTATTTTTAGTTTTCATATATGCCTCATAAAATCCAACTATTAAGAGAAAAATGAGGTTTTCAAGTATTTTTTTCTTTTTCAAATTTGCTTAAAATAGGAAGATCTTTTAAAGAGTTGTAATTGTTCTGGTAAAGAAACACTAAAAAGAGAAAGGACTCTTGATTTTGCATAAAAAGGTAGGTCATTCCAACGTCTGTCCCATGGTATTGAAATGAGCTGGATAAGGTATAGCAGGACTTTGACAAGGAGAGATGACTCCTGTGAAATAAATCAAAGACTTCCTTTTCCCAAACATCAGCCACTTTCTTTTGGACATCGCCACTCTTGCCTTTCTCTAAACATTTAAAAAATGTTTTCACTGTTTCACTATTTTCCTTAGACTTTTCCTAAACAAAGTATTCCTTAAGCCATGCATTTGGTGAACTTATTCCTTTATTCAAATTTACATTAAAGTAACGATGCAGCTGCTGAAATTTTAAAAAATTAAAAGTTTGGACCCCTATACTCGTAAGTTAATTTTAAGTATCACGGTGATACACAAATTACACTCTGCAAAACACTGATCCAATACACTTTTCTGCCTCTAAGTGAATCTATATTCCAAGTGTTCTGGAAAGAGCTTTATTCTTAAAAATTCTTCATTGTTTTTGTAATATGTTTCAGAACTATGTTCTATTAGTGACTCCCTATATTTGGGACATTCTTCCTGATAATTAGCCCGCAGCTTATTAATGTCAAAACCCAAATAAAATAAAACATTTCCAGACATACAATGACCCCAGTTAAATAGCAGTTTATAATCATATTGCTTAATTTCTTTAACCTTTGTCACCTTCACCTCCAGTCCACTTTGGCAACCTGCACCCATGACCTTGACTTTGCCAAGAAATAGTTTATTATCCAAAATCTTAAATCCCAGTATTCTAATTCAGGCCACTTCACACATTTCCTCGATGCCTCTAGTCTCCATCTCCCCCCTTTCTGCTGGTCTCCCCTCCCCTACTGCCCTCCTTCTCTTTTTATTCATCCTGGAAACTATAGCTTGTCACTCGATCACTCTCTTGCCAATGCTGGCATCACACATTTTCCTTTTCCTCACTCCAACCATTACAACCTTAGCCTTGGATCAGCCCACCTGTCTCCCTTTCTGGCTACTGATCACTACTATGGAAAAGCAAACATCTTCAGAAGTTAATATCACAAAAATCCATAGTCTGTAGCTTCAAATGGACCCCGAGGACTGCCCTTCAAACTTCCTATGTATTTAGTTGGCTTTCTTACTCCATAGTTTTCCAAAGCTCTGTTCTCCATGCCCTCTCCCATTTACTCTAGGATGCCCCTTAATACTTCACATAAGAACAAATAGTATTTATCATGTAGGAAATCCTTCAACTTCCTATTCCTACATTTACAAACGCCCGTGCACATATTTCATCCCTTCCCAAATTCCTAGAAGAAGTATCTGGCTTCCTCAGTGGCCTTATTCTACAAGTCACCCCTTTTATGAATTACATCTTCAAATTTTAGAACTCTTTCCTGGCTCCTAACTATCATGACCAAATACTTCCCATCTTAAAAAAAAAAAAAAAGTAAATCAATCAGTTCCATTCTCCATTTGTTTCCCCTACTCCTCTTGAAAGCCAAATTTTTAGGTTTCCGGCATTTGTTACATCCACTTTCTCACAGGACATCCCCAGTCTTTGTCCTTCCCCTTAAAAATGACACCATCAGGTAGACTAGTGACCTCTCTGCAGCTAAATCCAGTGGCTTCTGGTCAGGACCCACCTTGCTGAACAGGCCTCTCTTCAAATACTCTGTTGCTTATGTTTCTTTGGAAACATCATATTCTTGATTTTCCTGCTATGTCTAGAGTTGTCTTTTCCAATCTTTATTTTAGGCTCCTTGTTGTTGTTGTTTGTTTTTTGAACTTTTCATACTCTGTTACCCAGGAGTCTTTGTATGTGCTGTCTACTTGGTCTGATAGTTTCCCCTCCAACTTATTTTTTACTTGGTTAATTCCCAAGTGTCCTTACGTCTTCATTTAGATGTTTCTTCCACTTTCACTGACGTATTCTACCGTATGCTAGTTGTTTTTCTTTTGCTACCATAACATCTTGTAATAAGAATGATAAGTATAGTTGTTACTAATAACATTGGAGTACTTATTTTCTGCTCGGATCCGTTTTAAGCAGGCTCTATGTCTACTTATCTAATTCTCACAACTACCTTATTAGGTAATTATTATTAATTCCTCAAACAAGTAATCTAAGCTATAGAGAAGTTAAGTAATTTTCCCAAGGTCCACAACTAGTAAGTTACACAAGTGGTTTCTGAACTCAGGCATCTTATTGGAGAGTTTACAAACTCGAACATCATATATTTGTACATATGGAAGCACTTAAGACACCATGTTGCAAACACCTTTGGTACCTAACTTACTAATTAGATCCTAGGTTCTTAGAGGGACATTGCATCCCTGGCACCCAATGCAGTAATGGCCATTCCCAACAAATATTATTTGAATACATTTTTAAAAAGGTGACACGTGGCTCAGAGAGGAAAGAGTCCTACAATCAGATTTACCCTGAACCAGCCTCAGTGTCTGCAATTGTGACATTTTACCCCAAGAATGACAAATGACCTGCTTCATCTAATCGCCCCACACCACTTCTTGTCTCTAAGAGCTTACACACCCTGTCCCATTCGCCTCCTGCACCTCTCCCACTCTTGTCCTACTGCTCAGCTCCTATTGGTTCTTCCAAATCCAGCTCAGAATTCACTTTATTACTGAGGGTTTCCAATCTTCTTCTCAGAGTCTAGATTTTAGTTCCTCTATACTTTACACATCTAAATATCACAGATAACAACAACCACCACAACATTCAATTAGAGCATGGCTTTTCTTTTCTAACAGTGGTCTATTTGGTACTCATCCTATATCCCTAATACTTGAGTGTAGTGCCTATGACTCAGAAGGATTTAATAAATGTTTGCTATAGTAATTGAATGAAATTAGGTAAAGTATGTCTCGATAGGTTAAGAAGCTGATATCTTCAACTCTGATACGTTATGATAATTTAGGTGGTTTCTATACAGACAAAGACTTGATTACTGTTTGAATTGTCCAACACTGACATACTGAGAGATATGGAAAGGAACTCTGTGCAGATTTATAAGATGTCAAACCACCAATTCAATCGTAGCCAGGGAAAGCAACTATAAAATCCCCTCAGATGTTCTTTATCCTGTCACTTCTATATTAGTCCCTTCTTTTGCATTCCACTGATGGGGTTTTAGCACTTCTTAAATTCTTAATCGTATAATACCTGGGCTTTCTAACTGTTCTATGTGATTACTGTTTCTTGTTTCTTAAGTACACATAAAAAGCCAGATTACATTTCTTAAAGTACTTAATTGAGTCAGTTCTCTGCTCAAGAACTTTCTGAGGCAGCTGTCTGTCTACGAGATTAGGTGGGAACTCCAAGCCAGATGTTCTGCTTCAATTGATATGTATTGATCCTGACCCGTGGCTGATATCTTGTAAGTGCTTTTGATGTTTTCATTGCTTATTTATTTATTTATTGTTTTTAAAAGTGAAATGAGGAAACCTAGCTGAAGGAAAGTTTCAGTTTATGTCTTTCCTTATTAATACTGGAAAATTTTCAAGAGTAGATGCCTCTCGTTAAACAAAGGTGCAATATATTAAACCAAGTAAAGGCTACATTACATTAAACAAAGTATGCTAAATGAAACAGGCACATTGAGGTATGATAGGTAATACACTGTGGGGAAAGATGTGATGTTTTAATTAATGGCAATTTATAGAGCTCTCCAAAAAGGGCAAAGTGACTTCACAACAGAAAGCTAATTCATTGTTTCTCAGTTGAACTTCTAAGATGCTTATTGAACCAAGGGCATAATTAAACGAGTCCACAAGACATGAAGGAAGGACTACCCTTTAGATGCTGCGTCAAGCAAACCTGGTGGCCAAGAACAGGATGTTCTCTGCTTGAAAACCACCGCTCAGTGGCCAAGCTCTACTGACTGATGGGCTCTTTCCTTCTATTTCTGGCATTTCATCTCTTACTTTGGATTTACACCCTCATCATCTAACACATGAAAGGATCAAAGAGTTCAAAGCTCTTTAGGCTGTCAGTGTTTTATTTAGTTAAAAAAAAATCAACAAAAATGAAAAATTGTGCCCATTATGCTCTTTGCAGGAAACCAAAATTCAAAGTTAAGAAAGCACAAGATCCATGCAGTTCAAAATAAAACCCCCACTTTTTCACATACATATACCCTGTTATAAATCGCACCACCAAAGTTTGTGAACTTAAATATTGCTAGTTAAAATCCTCAAGATACTAGTGTATTCTCAAATCAATCTCTGCCACCTTGCTGTACAAGTGGGACATTGGCAGCTTCTCTTTCAATATCCAAAATACCATTTTTGGAACAAATCTGAAGTTTTGATTCATTCAACAAACAATTATATTGAGCACCTACTATGGGTGAGACACTATGCTGGGCGCTGAGCAAGCAAAATGGGATGATTTTCTGATTTCAGAAGAATTCTGGTCTCCAAAGCAGTGCTTCTCAAACTATATTTTATTAACTTGTGCCCTTCTTTCCCACTTCTCAGAAATTCTGATGAGCACTCCTAGCACTGACAACCACTGGTACACAGAACGTAGATTCTATGTTCTACGTTCTGCGTATCCTACACAGACCAAATGTCTTTGAGATTTACTTTTAATTACAAAAGCAACATATTTATTTTCCATATAGCAAGTTGGACTGGAATATTAAATATATTTTTGAACCATGCTCTGCCTACTCCCTCGCTTCCTCTTCATCTCCACCCCAGAACTGAAATTTAAATTTCCTGCACCCAGCCCCATTGAGAATCACTGCTTTAAAGAGTTTTAGAGAAAACCAGGCAACCTCCATCTCTCCCCACCAATCAAGTCTGAAAGGAATTAGAATTTTCCTACCTGACACAACAGCTGGTGGAGTATCATAATCCTGTCTTGGGACTGAATCTTTGAATGAAAAGAGCATGAGAAAGAATGCAATGAAGTACAAAAGAAAATAAAATAGAATCTTAGCTCTACTGTATGTGCCCACTGTATGTCATATGGTTGTCTAGGCCCCCTACCTCTAAGCTCTTAAGGCACTATGACCCTTACCTAGGTTACAGTTGATACAATGGTCCCCATGACAACCACACTGTACATGGTGTTAGGCCCCATGTGACCTTCTGGGACAGTACAGTCTATTCCAGAACACTATCATGTTCCTCAGTCGTTATTTTGGTCACTTCTTTGGGGTATCAATATAAAATCTATACCCTCTCTGGCTGACCCAAAAGTTCTACAAGGCAGCCCATCTGGGAGGGGCCCAGGGCACAATATGAAGTGAAGTCCTGGAGGTAAAAATAAAAAATGGAAAATTTAAAAGAGATAAATAAAAAATTTACACATTCCCATACTCTATGGGGGCTGATGCGTTTTGGTCACTCAGCTCTGGCTCTGATCCCAGTGGGTGTCAGTCAAGGCCAAGGAGCTTTGTGTGCTGGGACAGTGAGAGCGGAGACAAGTAGAACAGAATCTACTCAACAGATGATCGCTGTTCTTTTCCAAAGTGTCATAACATCGGAGGTGGCAAATCGTAGGGCAAGGCTAATTAAACTACATGGCATCCATTTCCAAATTTGGGGTTATATGGGACCAAATATGTCTGCTGTTTTTGAAAATGAGAAAGAGGCTTTGGTTTAATACAATCCCTTTAGCCAGAGATCTAAAAAAGGAGAGTTGGGCCTGGCCTATGGCCCAAGGCTCCCTCTTTTAAAAATGGAAAGTTCTAATCTAGCCCCAATTCCCCTTGGAGAGAAAACATGTATGAAAGGACCAAATATCGCTCACAGTCAAGTAAACTGCCAACATGGTTAAATGGGTGTTCTGTGCGACCCTTATCCCATTTATATGATCATTACTTCTTTAAAAAACTAAAACCTCAACCTTCATTTTTCCATCAACTTGAAAACTTCCTTTGGACTATCAAAACTTTCTCTGTTTAATCTCCTTGCCACAAAAGGACAATGTAACTCACTTTTTCATGAGGGGACAGATAAAAACTTCAACATCACAAGGCACTTTGACCAGCAAAAGGAAACATTGATCAAAGATTCAAAAGCAAATAAACCTTAGGCATGAGTCATTTTGTTTCTCGCAACAGGTATGTGAACTAGTGAGTTGATTATACTCTCCAAAGCTAGCATAAGCAGAATCGATTTTATAGGATCTCCAAATATTATTAAATAGTGATAGTCATTCCTAGTACCTTTTAAAAACTGTAATCACACATTATTACTACAACAAACAAAAAGTTAATTTTAAGACCATGCCACTAGTCATTTTCCCCACAAACATATTTATAACATTGAAAAATAAATAATAAGAGTAAATCATACGTATTGTTTTATAACTTGGAGAATGTAGAAAAGTATGATTAAAATATAAATTATCCCTAATCCGTCACCCAGAAATAATGACCCTTGTTTTGTATTTTTGTACAGCCTTATTTCATAAATTTTTTTTGAGTTGATACTATACTCCACATGTGCAAATTTACACCCTGTTCTTTTGATTTAACATGATAAATGACCCTTTTCCAGCTTACTTTAATTTCTTATAGCTTCATGCAGTGTTACATTCTGATTTGTGGATGGCTTAGGTTTATTTAATCACCCTTCATTAGACATTATAATGAACACTAGCTTGAACACTTTTCAGGTAAAAAGGCTTTTCTGTTATTTTAGGATATTTCCATAAAATAGCTTAAAACTTATTGGTCAATTAGTAGAGCTGTTTTCAAGTGTCCGCCTTGCTATCCAACTGAGACTTTCACAAATTTAGACTCTTGTCTTCATATAATGGGCATGTGCATTTCTTACACGTTCATCAGCAATGTACACTATTTTTATAACTTTATTTAATGGGTTATATGTGTATGTCTCCTGTGTGTATCTGATTAAATGACTCTCTTATTTTTTCATGTTTTTTGCATTCTACTTCCTCTTCTATCATCTATTCATATTGTTTTATCTATTGGGCTTTTGTATTTTTTTGTTCATTTATTTGAACTCAGAATCCATTTTTAAACAGAAAAAATGTAATATTTGCAATTAAACTTTCATAATACTAGGCTTTCACTTAATGCCTATTTGCTTATTGCTCAAAGACTACCTTAAAGTCCATTTATCTTACAATAAGACTAAACCAATTTTTAAAAACTATTCCCTTTTATCTATATTTTCAGTCTTGTATTTGACCATTTTTTAATTAACTGACATTTTTTCCTGAAAAACCATCTAAGGAGATAGACTCATTACCATTTATGGATTTACAATATTATTTCCTAGTAACAAGTCCTAATAGTTGTACGTAATAATTGGAAAAAGACAATCTTTAAGCAAAATGAGGAATTCAGGAATTTCACCTGATACCGTCAACATTTTAGAGTAATAAAGGAGGAATGGTGTGACTGAAAAATGTTAGAGAACTATGGCGCCCAAATGAAGTAGGATTACAAGATTATCTTTGTGAGCGGCATGGTTATACCATGGAATCCAATGGTGTCACAAATCACCAGTGGTTTGGAGAACACAAACAGAACTGCAGATAAGGAGCCTGCAGAACAAAAAGTTTTTATTTCTCTCAACAGATTCCAGTGACATTGTAAGCCACTGGTGACCACCAACTGAACAAATGAAAAGGAGATAAGAAACTTGTAAAACAAGATTGTCATGCAATTTGGAGGTTCTCATAACACAGTAAAATCCCCAGTGGCTTCTGCTAAAGCTTACAATAGACTGATAAGAAATGACGGTTAACAGGGCTTTGGTTCTATTCAGGGACCCCTATGACAAAAAAAATAAACAAAAGTGGAAAAGCTAGAAAATTCCTCAAGGTCAGCAGAGCCCTGGAATAAAACAGCTACACTGCCTGCATAAAATTCATTTCTTTTAAGGCCTGAAGATTCTGTCTAGCTTAAAAATAGGTAGAGAATTGAACAATAAACATTTGAGGTGGCAAGTGGTAGAGAAAGCTTAATTAAACTACATGGTATTCATTTCAAAAATGGGGGTTATAGGGACCAAATGTATCTACTTTTATGAAGATGAAAAGGAAGCTTGTCTCAATACACTTCTTTACCCAGGGATCTTAGAAAGGAAAATGGGAACTGGCATATGGCCTAAGGCCCCCCTTCTAACACGAAAACTGCGATCTGGCTCCAACTCCCCAGTAGCCCTGACCACTGCCTACTTTAGATCACTCTCTGCATTTCTCTCTGCTCTGTCCCTGGAACCTATCTGTTTCTGGAGTTGAGGCTCTTGTTTTTATCTTGACGTGTCACTGCTCAAATCTGGCCTTGTAGAATTTCAGTGAGCTTAGATGTCTGAAAGCCTCCGAAAGTTACTGGTAAGAGAGAGACATGATCAGATACTTTTAGATTGGCTGTGGCAACATGCTGCAGAATGGGCTGGAGCCAACTGAGACAGGAAGAAGGAAGAATAGTTAGAAAACTAATATTATAATTAATCAAATGAGGCCCAGGGCAGAGAACCTAGAAGTGTGGAGGAAGGGTTGTATTTGACAAATGCCTATGAGATAAAATTGGTGGGACTTGAAAAGTAAGTGTATATGGTGGTGAGGGAGAAAGTGTAGACTGAGTCCTAGGTGTAGCATTTGACTACCAGAGCAAATGGTCATGGATATGGCTTGAGAGGAAATAAAAAGCAGAATGTACAAGAGGACGGGGGGCAGTGGGGAGGAAGCTTAGGGAAGCTAATACAATTAGTTTGGGTCATGATGACTTTGAGATATCGGAGGGAGACTTATGTGACATAGTTAGCAAGTAGTTGGAAAAATGGGTCTAAAATGTTAAGATGAGGTTAGCACTGAGGACTCAGATTTTAGGAGTCTTTGGCATAGCAAGCAGATTTTAAAACCATGAAAGTAGATAACATTGCTTAAGGAAATCATGTATTAATGAGAAGTAAGTTAAAAAATGAAACCCTGTCTTAGCAGCATGTGAAAGAAGAGAAGAAGCCATGGCCAGAGGGGTCAGAGGAGATGTAGGAAATCCCTGGGCAGGAGTCACAATCTGAAAACTTTTAGGACAAACTGGGTTCAATGTTCAAATATAGGGAAATTTTCCATTAAGATCCAAATATTTAGTATATCTTAAAAAATTGGAATGTGAGGCTGCCCTAGGTGTGCATGCCTCTGCAGTAATAGTGACCTAGAGTTGAGTAGTGGCTGCCTTCTTTAGATGTGGCACTGTGTTCTATCCAGGCTGCCAAGGGCGCCACCTCCCGCGACTGTTCATCTAACACTCAGGCAGAGAAGTTATTAGTATAGCATTAAAAATACCTCTAATTTAAAATATAATCTCCAATATCATGTATATTTACAGTACATGAGAGGTAAATATAGGCCAAATTTGATCATATATTTCTAGGGTTTTTTGCTTGAACTCAGCCAACTTCATTTGTCAATGTGACTTGGCTGGCCTCTACAAACTTCTGGGTTTACAACTTTGGAAGAGTATGTTAGACGCTAAGGGAGTGGAAATGTGAAAAAGAAATGTTATGCCAAATGAAATAGAGTAGGCCAGTGAGTTGTGCTGTGAGCTTGCTAATTTCCGACATCCCTTCTGGTGACTTGGACTAGATTCCCACCAGCTTGAAGCCACCGGAGGTAGGGAGGTAAGGACGGCTGATGTGATAAGCATCCACCAGATTTCACACTGTATTAGGAATGTCACATATATCTTTCCATTTAACACTGGCAACTCCCCAGGGATGGAAATATTATTTTTCTACTTTGCAGAAGAGGAAATAAAAGTTCAGAGAGGTTCAATAACCCGCCTAAACATGCATAGCTAATAAGGGACCGAGCCAGACTTTGAGCTCAAATTTGATTCCAACTTCCACTATTCCTTCCATGACAACAGGCCACCTTCCCAGCAATGATAAAGTATGTTGAAAAGAAGCAGACGTGGGAAAATCTGATAGCCACTCCGGATGCCAATCAAAAATTCACATGAAATGAATCTATGATGGCATATTAAAGTCTAAGAGTGACAGTTCAAGAAAAATGCACACCAGTACTCTGGACACTAAACATGGGGATATTTTGTTCAATAAACCAACAAAGTAATATGGTTTTCCCTCTGCCTTTCTAGAACCCTATGAAATTTTAAACCTTTGCAAAACATCAATTTATACAAAGCTTATAATATACGTAAATATTTTTTAGTACAAATGTGAAGGGAGAAAAGAGTGGGGGAAAAAGCTACAGGGAATTTGGTATTAAAAATAAGCCACACTTGAAACTTTTGCTAAGAAAGGGAGGGGCTGTACTTTATTCTTGAACAATTTGGCTACTGTCAGCTGGGTAAAAATGGTGGTCTTATATATAAATGTGCTCTTGTTAAAAATGCTCAAATACTAATCATAATACCTATTATTGAATCAATAACTATTCTAATCCTAGATCTGTTCTATATATTTTAGCTTACTTTTCAATTCCCTAAAGGATCCAGTCATAATCGCAATTAAACTTAGCTCTTATATTTTTTCTAGTTGCAAATTTGAACGTCAGCAAGTCAGCTGGCTTTGCTTTTGATTCAAATGAGTAGGATTTATAAAGTGTTTCTTGCTGGGCTTTGCATGATAACTCCCTCTTTTATCAGCTTCCAGATTGTTATTCAATATAATAAGATTGCAATACTTCACTTATGGAGAATTTATGATCCTTTAAGGAGATTAAGGCTGATATGAAGGGAAATCAGCAGTGGGCACATGAGAAACATCAGGCCTCCCAACACTTCATGGAATCTGTTTTGCTAGTAAATGAACGAAGTGACGACAAATAATCCTTATATATTACTAAAAGCTCTAGAAATATTATCTTCAAATTCTATCTCCCTGATGAAAGTTAGCTGTGCCACAGTATAGAGTTAAAATGTCACCTTAGGCATGACTTTTAAAAGTCTAGGTCAGAGATCCAAGAAATCATTTGACCCAGCCCGAGCCTTCAGACAGGTAGAGTGTCATCAATTGCTTTTTATAGGTTCAGCAACTGAAGCCTTAGAGTTAGGTACTTTGTTTACATTAATATAATTAAATTTCTTTATTGAAACAAAGTGACTTTTCCCATTAGATATATGGACTGTCTTCCTATTTAGAGCAGATTATTGAGGCCTCAGTGGACATGTCAAAAATGTCTTATATTCCAAAAAAGCCTATGTGTCAAGCAAGTCATTGTTTTAAAGGAAAAATTCCAATATATTATTAGTGTACACAGTACATGATGTTTGGAGATGATGCTAGCATAATCATGAGGAATCACAGAAGAGGTGAGTATGAGACTTATAGGCTTAAATACATAGAGGCATGTAGTCAAAGGGGCCCCATATAACATGTTCAATATTTCAACTAGACAGAGAGAAACTGAGGCTGGAAGATGTCATTTTCCCAGGACAGGCACAACAGGGCTCAATCAAGATTTGAGTCTAGAATTCCTGATTTTGAGTCCAGTGTTCTTTCTATAGTACTTAAGCTGCCTCAGTAAAAAGAAAACATATTTTTCTTCCCACATCTTTAAAACTGACAAATTATCTGCCTTATCATTTATAAAAACTAAAAACTGTTACCAGTGGTGTCAGAAGGAGAGGTTGACTTTGATGTTTTTCACTGTTCTCTATAATGGTAATTAACAGAGCTGCAGGGTTCCAGAGGGTATTAACCATTCACCTTCTTGACCACTTGGGGAGTTGTCTTTGTCTAGATTTAAAACTAACAAAGTTTTGCTAATGATTTCAAATGCCTCATTGATATAAAATCAAAGCTGCAATAGGCAATTTTTGATATACTTTTGTTCCCTAAGGAAACAAAATGGCTAGCCAAAAATATCCCAACTTATATAAAAAAAAGATGAAGTACATTAGATTCCAACATCATCTATGTCAATATATTCAAAAGAAAGATGAAAGGAACTCGATTATGTCAGGTTCTCATTACTTTTTACTGACTTGAACATGGAAAATAAATAAAAAGCCCTGCCCATTATTCATAGTCAAGGCTGGCCGCTCCCTTGTGAGTAACCTGGGAATGATGTATTAGCTGAAGTGTAAGCATCTGGGAAAAGAAAATCAGGCTCAAGAGTATTAAGTTACAAGTCTCCATTTGCAGGTGCATGCATAAAGACACTTTTCCAAAAACAGACATTATACCTGGTGCACCCTGTCCTCAGAACAAAAAGTTGCAACTCAAATTTAAATGCAACACAATACAATACAACCTTCGGCGTTGTCAGCGGGAGTAAGCGTGTCCCAGGACTGAGTGTGCATGCAGAAGGCAGCTTGTTCCCACTGGAACCTGCAGGGTGTGTTAGTCAATGGTACAGAACCCGTTTTGCTGATGATGCCAGTGAAAAGAGAGAGTATTTCATCTTATGGAAGAAGTCCAAGAAAACAGAACAAAACAAACCCTTCAACTCACCGTTCCTGTTGTGCCCAACGAAAGATGGTTCATCTGTTGTGTCAGGGGGCCCATCATGTTTGCTGGCTGCATTGACATCGGATGGTCCATTGTCGGCGTGATCACAGCACCCTAGAAGCACACACAGTATCCATCTGAAAACACGTTCCACAAGGAAGGAAATGTTCAAAACAAATAAACACAGTAACCTGTGTTAACATCCAATGTGTATACTTTTTAATGAAAAGGCTAAATTCAACCATGTATAATTTTTACAACCATCCATGTCATTTTCTATTCATGTGAATATATAGCATTAGCAGCTTCCTTTCCTCCAATGTGATTTATCTGTGATGTGTTTAAAATGCCTGGTATTTAAAATTCCAGTATTCAATGTAGAATGTATTCCAAGATATCATGTGTGTCCCCTCTCTCACTGTTCTGAATACTATCTTCTCTGAATAAAAAATATGAGTATCATAGAAATTCTCTAGTTTTTATAGATATGAATAAGACTTTTGGTTTATGACTTTTAGCCATGATTTATTTGGATAATTTTGATCACCTCAATACAATCTACCACTGGGGTGATAACGTTGATCCAGATGGGTTCCTTGACTGGGTCTCTTTGAAGGACATATTAAAATCTAATATAAATGTTATAAAAACTAAAGTTACTATTTCCCATGTTTTTAAATTTGAATATTTTGACCTACTTTCTTTGTATCTATGCTTTTGATACAAGACAGAACACTAAACTGTTAAATGCTGGGCAAATGCAACATTGCTTGTAAGAATGTCAAATGTTTCATCAGGTGTTAGGAAAAGCCTACCTTTAGAATATGTATTCTAACTGTTGGAATGCAAGAAATACTAGACATTCAAAAAAACTTCTTTCCATACACAAAGTGTCACATGGCTACTGAAGCACAGAGCCAGGCCACATACCCTTTCCTTCCTTTTCCTCTACCTGACTTTTCTGCCTCATTGACTAACTTAGACAATGGAAAAATATATATTTGTTTAATTGAAAATCTAGGGTTGGATGGAGTCTTTGCTATGATATCATTCCAATGTTTTATTTTAAAGATGATGATAAAGGCAGAAGCTCATGCTATAGCAACTCATTTAAATGTTCCCTGGTAATCACATGATTATGTATCTGAATGTTAATTTTTCTGTAAACATTTTTTTTTTACTACGTGACTTTTCCCCCCATGTACATAAGTAAACATTTTGAAGAAATAAAACCAGGACAGATTCATGTAGATAACAGGCTCAGACCCCAAACTCATTACCCACAAGCAAATGTTTCCTAAAACTCTTTTGCTCAGGATGATTCATTCCTCATGTTACTACCCAAATCCAACTTCCCGACTGTATGTGTTCAAGGTTCAGGCTATCACTCAGCCTTTTTTATGGGCTTCTCTCCATTAATATGGGGCAAGAACAGCAATTGAGCCAAATATTTGGAAATGCTTAATACACAGATTCAGCTTTATTCCAAAAGGCATTAGGACTTTTGAGCTAGACTCAATCAGAAAAGATATATGTTATTTTATAGGTCTTTAGCTTGCAAATACACAGTTGTAGATTTGTGTTGTTTGAATTTTGTGGTGCTTCTGTGAGTCATCATTCAACAGGATGCTTCTTGAGTGAGACACATGATAAAAACTTTTACTTGTAATTCAGAGACATCACTTTTTCTTCCTGCTGTCTGAATCTCTTTACCAAAACCATCTTTATTTTATATATATTTTTAAAAACCACTACTGGCCTTCATTTCAGATATTTGCTGTGCCAGACCAGAAGTAAACACTTTAAGAACTGGGAATTTCTTTTTTAAAAAATATATATGTATATTTTATTGATTTCAGAGAGAGGAAGGGAGAGGGAGAGAGAGATATAGAAACTTCAATGACGAGAGAGTCATTGATCAGCTGCCTCCTGCTGGCCCCTGACTGGGGATTGAGCCCACAACCCAGGCATGTGCCCCAACTGGGAATCAAACGGCAATTTCCTGGATCCTAGGTCAATGCTCAACCACTGAGCCATGCACAGCCGGGCTGGAGGTTTTCTTAAATCACTTAGAGAACAATTATATAGAATAACCTCAGAGTTAAGACAAGTCCTAAAGCATATTTTTTTCAACCCCAAAGTGGCACTTTCACAATATTTTAATCCTTAGCAGGTGCAAGATTTCAATACTCTTCTTGAACTTGAGACTTAGTCTATCTTTCCAGAGTGTTGGCCCCTAGAGAGCTTCTAACATACAGCTGAACTGTCATAGTTCTGGAAACCCCTCAATTTAATCAGCCTGATCTAGTCACATAAAGATTGTTTGTCATAAATCAGAGATAAAGACCAAATCGTGCTTGGTAAGAATACTTTCTACTCAGCGCCCTAGGGGGTGACCTCGTTCCCCAGGGTTGCGAGAGGCAGACTTGAGTCTTTGTTTGGAAGGCAATATGCAAATGAGATATGTGAGTCTGTGACAGATGAATCAAAATCCATGCATGATAAGAACAGAAGGATTGAGTGCCTACATTTGGAACTAATTTAGGAAAGATCATCTGGTCTCTTTAAAGCATCCTTTCTCAGAAAGTGTTTGGGGACTCATTTGATTACAGATGCCACAGAGTGAGTTCTGCTTCTGTGTATAAACCAAACACCTGACAATCAAAGGAAAGAATGGGAAGGGATTTGTCATAATTTGGGATTGTAAATAGAAGCCACATTCTTTTCCTACCCAGACCAGTTGGTGCAAATAAATGAACAATAAAATAGTAATTCTTGGGGGAAGACTGGTAAGTCCATACATTCTTGTTCATATTCAGGAAAAACGTTCAGTGAATAAAAGGATTTCCGTAAATTATTGAGAACATAAATTTCTAAACAGTCTCAGGGGATGGAAGAGCTTTACAAACAGTTAGCTGGAAGTAGTAGACAGGAACCCCTTGAAAACAAAATTTCTTGATGATACTTTACCGGGGAAGGGACAACTTTAAGACTTTGAAGTGTTGGTTATCTACAACAAAGAATGCTGTTTGCTAGATATTTTTTTCATCAAAGAATGTCCTTTGTATTGTATCGGACATTTAAAAAGGAGAGGAAAACGAGAGAAAAATAACAAAATAGGAAAAGAGAAACCTATGACTGTTAAGGCTAAACTAGTGCCCTCAACTATAATTGTGCCTCATTAAATGTACTGTCAAATCCATTTCTACCCAATGCATTTAAGCCATAGACTGAAGAGTGTTTTGTGACAGATGTTGCCAACACATTAAGGGTAATTTCATTTACTGGAAATGTATAGAATGTGCTGTCTGACAGAGTTTGCTTGGCAAATGGCAAGGCAAAAGGAAACAGATTTTTCATTTTAGCATCTCCGGATGTCTGGGTTTGCTCAATGTTTAAGCTGCAAAGGAAAATACTGTAACATGCTGTAATTCCACTAAAAAGCACAAAAACCAAACAGTTGATGGAAATGTCTGGTCTGTTTTAGCCACTGCCCCTGCAAAACAAAGCTGCTCACACTCAAGAGATGTAGGGTAGATCTGGTCGCCCTCGTTCTGAAATAAACAATTTCAACAGCAATTTGGATAAAGTTTCCAAAGATCATTGATGTGGAGTAAACACAGCTGACCTAAGGCCAGAAAAGCATCTGTGTTGTTAACCTTCTGCCAATAGTTGAAAGAAATTTCAAGTCTTGCAGAGTTCATCAATATTTGACTTTCCCAAATAAAATTTAAAATCATTGGCAAATATGGGAAAACACATGCAGGCTTTCTTACATCAAGAGTGCACGTAGCTGACTTAAAACCTATTTGAAGCTATTGCAAATTGGATGATCAGTTTCCCTGCTTTCTCTTATTTTTCTTGGTCTAGTTCAACACAGAGTGATCTTTTTAAAATGTAAGCCAGATCCTGTCACTTCTTTGCTCTAAATCTCCCAGTGGCTATCCTTCTTACTCAGGGCAAAAGCCAGTATCAGTGCAAGGGCCTAGATTAATTGCCCCTTTGCCCCTTCTTTGATTTCATCTCTTACCACTCTCTCTGTGGTTCACTCTGCTTCAGAACACTAGCCAACTTGCTGTTTCTCAAATACGCTCCTTCCTTCATTCCATTTGCCCGTGATTCCCCTTTGCCTGGAATGACTTTCTCCCAGATAATCTGCTCAAATGTCTCTGCTCACCCCCTCTTGCCTTCTTCAGTATCTCTCTGGAAGAGCTGTCCCCTCTCTCCTGCATCATCAGGGCCACTGGGGGATAAACTAGCCTGTAGATATGTTAAAACTTCAAAACCAGGTTCTTGAAATGACATCCTTTGAGCAGATCAAGCCTTGCCTAATGCCAGCCCTACCCTTAGACCGTTATATGAGGCAATCACGCCCTTTAGAATTTATTACAATATCTGGCCAACACCTTGGAAGGCATTATACATGAAACACATCATATCATTAGTATACACTTTAATCACAATTTATTGTTCATATTTTAATGCAACAGAGTTGTATAATGGTATCAGCAGAAAGAAAACTTGTAATTTTTGTAAATAAAGAATAGAGAAATGTGAAAAACAAAAAACCCTATATTAAAGCTAGACAATGGACTACAGTGAGAAGAAACCACTATACAAATATTCCCGTGACTGTCAGTACTCTAGTCCAGTGACACTCCAACTTATGATCTGTAAACCTGCAGCAGCAAACGAAAGGTCAGGATTAAAAGCAGAATCTCTGGGCTTTGTGTCTTGGAATCTGTGTTTTAATATCTCCAGGTGACTTTGATGCACCCTAAGGTTTGAGAAGTCCTCTTTGCCTATAAACTGCTATTGTATAAACCACTGTTACAGTTCTTAGTACCAACAATTGCTTTTATTTTGTTTATACTATTTCTCAATTATGTATTTTAAATCAGCCTTGTGATAGGGCACGAGCCTTTATAGCAATAATCCCATTATATTTTGTTTAAATATGCAAAGAGTCCAAGCCTACATTTTTGATGAGCTGAAATGGGCAATTATCTGAATAATTCAGGCCTCTGCCTGATAACCTGCCCTGCTTCCATGTGCTCCATCTCCTTTGGGTTGTTGCGCATGTGAGAATTCTTCCTGTGTGAAATCTTGGTAAG